CAATCTTTCACTATGGTGACACACAGTCTTCTGAATGACTCGCAAACTTTTGTCAGACGTGATGTGAATGGACGTTTTGCAGCCGTTTACGCGCTGCCTACCCCGCAAGGGATATAGGCGTGATATGTGTATGTATTTATTTATTGCCCACGGCCTCGAACTACATAATTAGATACTCTATAAAAGATATGGTATGAGAAGCAGTTGCGTAGCTTTCTATTTGCTGCTTAGTCCTTAATTCACAGATTCATAACATCACATAGTTTGTTCGCAGGACTCGCTCTACATTGCTCTTTTCTCTTTGTTCTGAGGTTTCAGGTTCACCTTTAGTTTATGCAAAAGCTTTGTCCCGACTTGCCCTTTTGACTTTTTTTATTCAACTTTTCGTTTTAATGGACTTAAATCGATGTAACAATGCTGGCTGAAAGTCTAGCTGAAAATATTTGGAACATGATTTTTTAAAGCTATTATAAGCAGGCAAATTTCATTTTCGCTACAGAGGACCAAAATGATGTTTTACGCTATCTTATTAACTTTAATGACACAAAAAATGATGACATTCTGATATGTTGTTCGAAAACAATTCTGTGCAATTAATGAAATGTTACAGCAGGAAACATAACTAATTCCACGTCACAAAAATACTTAATCTTTTAAGGTAAACAAAAACAATTTAAAACGAAGATTACCAAGAAATGCAAATGGTGTTTTTAAACACAAATTAGGTAAAAGGCTGAAAATATTTACGCTCGTATTATCGTCAAGTCCTCTACAAACACGGGACGGCCTTTTTAATTATATCCTACTTGTACTCTACGCTACAGGGGAATATCAGATCATTGTTTTGATGCCATAGTGCTCTATAATAGATGGTTAAGTGCTTCGGAGGGCAAATTAAGCCGTCGGTCCCGGTTGCTTTCTATGATTACTTAGACGGCGGTCGTTACACCACCGTGTCAGAGTCCTACTCGAAAAGATGAAGTACCTTTTAATATCACTATTTACGAATCTATGGATAAGATTTTTATTGTTTACCAAGTTTTGGGCACATGAAATGATTCTCCATCAATATGAAGAAAACTGGCCAAGTACGAGTGGGACCCGCGCACGAAGGATTCTATGATGTATAAAAATGACGTATTATGTTGTATAGAAGTTGTTGTTAGGCGGCAATAGCAATATGGGTTCTCTGAAAATTTTAACTTTCTAACTAGGTATCACGATTAATGCGATAGAGCTTGGTATGACGCACAGATAGCGTCAGTTATAGGGTTACCGTTTTTACCCCACTTTACCTATATAAAAAGCACCTTGGGATTTGATGGCTCTACTTTCGAAACTCTTTTTAGTTACAATATTATGATTTAATACCCTATCACTATATAACTATATGTGCTTGTTGTAAATTTTCTTTAGGCGCGCGTAAACGAGTCCACAGCAACAAAAATGGAAAACCTACAAAGGTCTACGCACGAGCGGGTCCTGTGCAAACATTGCTTGTGTACGCCTTTTAGTTGAACAACAGAATCCCTCATTTTCTTCGAAAAGTATATTTACTTATACGGGCAAGTGATGAAAACGCCTGGGCTACTGGGCCATGTATTCAGGGTGTAAAGTAAGACGAAATTCGGGTAGCGTTTGGCGGCTGTCAGTAGCAAGCAGACCAGATACTTGTGGCTCCGCACACCAAAGTCATAGGTAGAGAAACTCACTTGTTTTAGATTAACTTGCTACCTAAGTAAAAGTTTCGAAATGCATGAATACAGATACAATTACACAATACAAATACAATTCACAAATTAGGAAAAAAAGCACGCAAGGCGTCATTACAGATGGCTCACTCAGTACTAGCGAAGATTTTAACACTTACTGATTTTACTTGTTAAAAACCCGAATCTCAGAGGAACTCAAGCTAACTTAGAAGATGTTTGCCACCAACGTCATATTTCTCGGATTAAAATTGGCTCAGAATCAAATATGACGTTCTGGTATCAGATTTTGCTGTTTTGACATCCTTATACTTTGAGTTTTTTGACAGTAGCAAAGTAACCCTGGCTATGTAACAAGAGACAATCGCGAAAATCCTAAATAGGGTTGAGTGAACCTTCTGTAAATTATTTATTTTGTGATATCATCAAGCTTCATTCCTTTTTGTTTTTGTACAGCACCACCTGCAAAACCTTTGTCTCTGAAATGCTACAAGCTCAATATGTAGAGTCATCGCTATGTTGGTCGTTAGCGTTACGCGTAAACTGTGGCACGGAAGAAATATAGGTACTAGATGAGAGTAAAGCCTAACCTAAAAATCGAATCTAACTTCTTCCGTTTTACTACACCATAAAGCAGGTATATCTGTATTATAATTTTATACCAATAAATGGTTTATGAATGCCTCTGCGCCTCTGCTGACAGTTTATGAAACATAATAAATCCTAAAGGTAATTTTGGATGGCAAAATTTTAAAAGTGGTGCTGTGAATTTATGAGACCTAGTTAGTTTTTTCACTTCTGTGCTTGCTTTAGGTACTAACGTCGTCTAGCTTTAATACGAAACTGAGGTACCTAGGCTTTTTGGTTTAGGATTGACTCTATATAGTGTATTTCCACCGTAAACCGCGATGTACTGACACGAGCCACAAAATAGAAACTTTACAGAAGGTTCACTCGACCCTGTTCAGGATTTTTGCAATTGTCATTTGTTACATAGGTTTTGCCAGAGTTGCTACTGTCAACAATCTCATAGTAGGTATAATAATATTAAAACAGCAAAATCTTTTACATAAACGCCATATGATTCTGAGCCAATTTTAATCCAAGAAATAAGACGTTGGTGGCAACCATGTTCTAGGTTACCTTGAGTTCCTCTGAGATTCCAGTTATTTCCAGTAAAAGTCAATAAGCGTCTAAATTGTCGCTTCTGAGTGAGCCATCTGTAAAGGCGCCCCGCGCGCCGTTACCCTTATTTGTGCTTTAGGATGCTCTCCTCTAGTGTATTTCCTCCCCTATGGTTGTGGTGAATTTTCTAAACCGCGGTGCGCTGACACGAGCCCCTGACGTCCGTGAGAAATGACCTGCCGCTTTTTAGAGACACGTGAAGTTGTGAGCAAGCGTAGTTTAGACTCCGTAGCCGGGAACCCTCTTTTGAAAACGTAGATGAAGGGTAAGGTGGTTGGAAAATCAATTAAAGGTCATTTGGGTTGGCCTAATTTAAAAAAGTGCCACAGTTCACTTATGAGACCTAGCTATAGTTTTTTCAATTCTGCGCTCACTTTGCTAGCGTCGTCTAACTTTAAGACGGAAGTGAGGTACGCATTTTGGTTCAGGATTGACTCTTCTCTAGTGTATTTCCTCCACGGTTGTGGTGAATTTTCTAACCTGCGGTGCGCTGACACGAGCCCTGACGTCCGTGAGAAATGACCTGCCGCTTCCTAGAGACACGTGAAGTTGTGAGCAAGCGTAATTTAAACTCCGCAGCCTGGAACCCTCTTTTAAAAAAGAAGATGAAGGGTAAGAAGGTTGGTAAATTAAGTAAAGGTAATTTTTGTTGGCCTTATTTTAAAAAGTGACACAGTTAATTTATGAGACCTAGCTATAGTTTTTTTCACTTCTGCGCTTACTTTACCAGCGTCCAGCTTTAAGAAGAAATGATGGTACGTATTTTGGTTCAGGCTTGACTTTCCTTTAGTGTATTTCCTCCACGGTTGTGGTGAATTTTCTAAACCGCGGTGCGCTGACACGAGCCCTGACGTCCGTGAGAAATGACCTGCCGCTTTCTAGAGACACGTGAAGTTGTAGGCAAGCGTAATTTACACTCCGTAGACAGGAACCCTGTTTTGAAAACGTAGATGAAGGGTAAGGAGATTGTTAAATCAATTAAAGGTCATTTTTGTTGGCTTTAATAAGTGCCGCAGTGTATTTATGAGACCTAGCTAGTTATTTCACTTCTGCACTTTACTAGAATAGTCTAGTTTTAAGACGAATGTGAGTTACCTTTGCTTTTTGGTTAAGGCACCAGAAGGATAACTCGACCCTATTTAGAATTTTCGCGATTATCACTTGTTACATAGACAGGGTTGCTACTGTCAATTATAATTCTGAGCCATTTAATCCATGAGATATGACGTTCGTGGCAACCATCTTCTTAGTTGACTTACTCTGAAATTCCAGTTATATCCAGTTCAAGTCAGTAGGCGTTAAAATCATCACTAGCACTAAGTGAGCCATCTGTAAAGGCTCTCCGCGTACCGTTACCCTAATTTCTGGTTTAGGCTTCTCTCCTCTAGTGTATTTCCTCCATGGTTGTGGTGAATTTTCTAAACCGCGGTGCGCTGACACGAGCCCCTGACGTCCGTGAGAAATGACCTGCCGCTTTCTAGAGACACGTGAAGTTGTGAGCAGGCGTAATTTAGACTCCGCAGCCTGGAACCCTCTTTTGAAAACGTAGGGTAAGGAGGTTGGTAAATTAATTCGTCTTATGATCGTTTTGTTTACCACTTTCAGTCATAGTTACTATAATTAATGTAGGTATTGTACTAGCGGCCCGTTAGCGGTTTCATCCACTGCAACTCATTTCCCGGTCTGTGTTATGCATATAGACACACCACCGCATCAAAATCCGTTGCGTGGTTTAGGAGGAGTTAGACAATTCCTCGACAGACAGATAGTATAAAATGAAGACGCTTTTTACGTTTCTCTATGTACTGATTACCTACCTCTTACTGCTATTAAGTCTAACTAAACTTACAGAACTAAGAAGCGTATTTTCGTATAAAATACAAACAGAGTAGAGTACTTAGTTTTACACTAGACTGACTCAATACAAACTGTGTAAGAACAGCTGAATAAAATAGAAACTAAGCAGTAAGTTTTGCACTAGAACGACTAATTTAATAAAGCAATCTTATTTTAGCTACATTCTAACCATCCTTTGAGTATTGAATACCAAATTTTAAAACACTTCTCGTGTTAGGTAAACAATTTTTGGAAAACTTCCAAAATTTTCACCGCAGGCAGGATTTGAACCTGCGACCTTCGGCATCAGTACTCTAACCAACTGGGCTACCGCGGTTCTAATCGAGCCCGCGAAATTATGGAAGTATATATCGCGTGGATGGGCTCCATCTACCGGGATAGTTTTTGCAACTAATTCCCAGCGACTAATTCATTCTTTACAGATTGAATGTAGTCAAAGCGATGAAAACCCGCGATAAATTGAATACCAAATTTTAAAACACTTCTCGTGTTAGGTAAACAATTTTTGGAAAACTTCCAAAATTTTCACCGCAGGCAGGATTTGAACCTGCGACCTTCGGCATCAGTACTGCCGACGCCCTAACCAACTGGGCTACCGCGGTTCTAATCGAGCCCTCGAAATTATGGAAGTATATCTTGTCCACTATCGCGTGGATGGGTGATTAGAACCGCGGTAGCCCAGTTGGTTAGGGCGTCGGCAGTACTGATGCCGAAGGTCGCAGGTTCAAATCCTGCCTGCGGTGAAAATTTTGGAAGTTTTCAAAAAAAAAATTGTTTACCTAACACGAGAAGTGTTTTAAAATTTGGTATTCAATTTATCGCGGGTTTTCATCGCTTTGACTACATTCAATCTGTAAAGAATGAATTAGTCGCTGGGAATTAGTTGCAAAACTATCCCGGTAGATGGAGCCCATCCACGCGATAGTGGACAAGATATACTTCCATAATTTCGCGGGCTCGATTAGAACCGCGGTAGCCCAGTTGGTTAGGGCGTCGGCAGTACTGATGCCGAAGGTCGCAGGTTCAAATCCTGCCTGCGGTGAAAATTTTGGAAGTTTTCCAAAAATTGTTTACCTAACACGAGAAGTGTTTTAAAATTTGGTATTCAATTTATCGCGGGTTTTCATCGCTTTGACTACATTCAATCTGTAAAGAATGAATTAGTCGCTGGGAATTAGTTGCAAAAACTATCCCGGTAGATGGAGCCCATCCACGCGATAGTGGACAAGATATACTTCCATAATTTCGCGGGCTCGATTAGAACCGCGGTAGCCCAGTTGGTTAGGGCGTCGGCAGTACTGATGCCGAAGGTCGCAGGTTCAAATCCTGCCTGCTGTGAAAATTTTGGAAGTTTTCCTTTGAGTATTGTCCAGTTGAAGGTTTCTATTATGGATAGGTACTGAATTAGAGTCAGGGATGTGAAAAAATAATCGATTATTTAAAATGATCGATATTTCTTTGAAAAAAATAACATTTTAATTGATTAATTAAAATAGTAGAAACAATCGATTAATTAAAAATCGATTATATTTTCAAAATTTCCAAAAATACATAAATAAAATTGTTTGTGCCTCTATTCTTTTACCAAACTTCTTGATTATGCATGAATTATAACATACCATAATACGATTTTCTCGGTCTTAAATTTAAGAGATTGGCTATACACAATTTTTGCGGTCTTTAATTTAAGAGTTCGGCTATTTGATAAAACTAACATTATTTTGAATTTTAATTAAAGTGCAAAACGAAAAAAAAAACGACTTTTATTAAAAATCGATTTTTTGCGACTACAAATAATCGATTATAAAAAAACTATTTTTCATTACTCAAGTCACATCCCTATTTAGAGTGCTCACTGCTCAGCTCAGAAACAAAACTGTCGACACGAAAATAGCAATTCAGACAGAGACTGGATGCAGCACTTATGCAGTTTGTTAGGGCCACCGTCAAAGTCCTGATTTTGGCTTAATAAAACTGTCATCGGCACCTCAGTTTAAGGGAACATCAGGTTCTTAAGAGTTAAAATAACAAGTTAACCATTGTATGCCCAAAACTCACAAAGTACCTATCTATGCCCAAAACGTTTAAATACCATTGAAAAGTAGTGCCACAAATTAGGGAAACAGTGCGCGGGGCCCCTTTTGTGGTACTGCTGTGCGCATTACATTTACGTCAAAAACAGAAAAAGGAAACTAATCATCTATGTCAAATACATTTGACGTAGAATTAATTCGACAATCATAATACATCATGCCAATTTCGGGGTAGGCAGAGCGTAAACAGCTGTACAAAAACGGCCATTTACACCACGTCTGACAAAAGTTTGAGAGTCATTTAGAAGAATGTGTATGGCCATAAAACAGGCCCCAGTTAAATAAACGTGATAGGTGATAGGTGACAGGCGACAGGTGACAATCCGACAATTTGACAATTTCTTGTTTAATAAAGAATTTGGTCGACAAATTTGTCACGGTGGAAAATCGACAAATATGTCGAATTGTCGTGACAATTTGACATATTTCTGTTTAATAAACAATTTCTCTTGACAGGCGACAGGTGACAATTTGTCCGGAAAAACTTGTCAATTTCGTTTTATTTAACACTAAATTGTAATGACAATTCGACATATTTGTAGAATTGTCGGAGATTTTCGACAGGAACCCATACCCAATGTCAAAGATGGTTTGCGGTTGAGATAGGTATATGGGTTAAATCACTCATGTTTTAAAAAGCTACAAATAAAACTTAAATTACAAAAATAGTAGTACTAGCGTGTAAACCAAAAACACTGTATGTGCGAGCACCTAAGTTTTGAGAAAATTAGCAAAAACGTTTTTTATTGAAATTTGCTTTTTTTATGAATAACTTAAAACATTTAAACTTTTTTATGACTTGAACTAATGGATATTGGTAATACCTTACTAGCCATTCCAATTTTACACAAAATGACATTAAATAAACAGAAATATAATTAAAATACAGTAATCTGCTTCTGCGTGATGAACATACAGCATAAATATTGTTGCTTTGTAAAGCAAAAACACTGTATTGGTTCATACAGTGTATTTCTTTTACAATAATACTGTTGCGCAAAGTAGGGATGGAGTTAGCCTATCAGCAGCAGAGTGCTCTGATATGGTTGCAATGACCTCTAACATGGTTGCAGAGTCCTCTGACATGGTTGCAGCGTTCTCTGACATGTTTGTAATGACCTCTGACATGGTTGCAGGGTCCTCTGACATAGTTGCAGAGACCTCTGACATGGTTGCAATTACCTCTGACATGGTTGCAGAGCCCTCTGACATGGTTGCAATGACATCTGACATGGTTGCAGAGTCCTCTGAAATGATTGCAGCGTCTTCTGACATAATTGCAGAGTCCTCAGGCACGGTTGTAATGACCTCTAACATGGTTAGAATGACCTCTGACATGAATTCAGAGTCCTCTGACGTGATTGCAGAATCCTCTGACATGGTTCCAGAAATATCTGACATGATTCTAGAAACCGTTGACATGGTTGCAGAGTCTCTTATATGGCTACATTGACCTCTGACAAGGTTGCAGAGGCCTCTGACATGGTTGCAGAGGCCTCTGACATGGTTGCAATGACCTCTGACATGGTTGCAGAGTCCTCTGACATGGTTGCAGAGTCCTCTGACATGGTTGCAGAGTCCTCTAACATGGTTGCAGCGTCCTCTGACATGATTGCAGAGTCCTCTGACACGGTTGTAATGATCTATGAAATGGTTGCAGCGTCCTCTGACATGGTTGCAGAGTCCTCTGACATGGTTGCAATGTCCTTTGACATGGTTGCAGAGTCCTCTGACATGATTACAGAGACCTCTGACGTGTTTGCAATGAGTTCTGACATGGTTTCAGAGACCACTGACGTGGTTGCAATGAACTCTGACATGGTTCAGAGGCCTTTATTGTGGTGGCAGGGTCCCCTGATATAGTTGCAGAGGCCTCTGATATGAATACAGAGTCCTCCAACATGGTTGCAGAGGCCTCTGACATGGTTGCAGAGACCTCTGACATGGTTGTAATGACCTCTGACATGGTAAAAATGGCCTCTTACATGAATTCAGAGTCCTCTGACGTGGTTGCAGAATCCTCTGACATGGTTCCAGAAACATCTGAAATGGTTCCAGAAACCTCTGGCATGGTTGCAGAGTCTCTTATATGGCTACAATGACCTCTGACAAGGTTGCAGAGGCCTCTGACATGGTTGCAGAGTCCTCTGATATGGTTGCGGAGTCCTCTGACATGGTTGCAGAGTCCTCTGACATGGTTACAGAGGCCTCTGATGTGGTGGCACAGGCCTAAAATACGTTTCCACAGAACTCGACCATTAAGTAAGGTTACTTAGAAATAGAATCATTCGAGATTTCTCATTCGGGGCAAGCGCAATATTGTAAAGGAGAAACACTGTAAGTGCGTTTACAGTGTTATGGCTTTACAAAACATGGTTATATGCACATACAGTTTTTTTTTGTTTGTCTATAACTTCAATTGTATTCACTTTTATGATAAAATATTAAGTTGAGGGTATGTATTAGAGTCTAAATAATGTAATTAACCTTATAGAGCTAAAACACTGTATGTGACACTTACAGTGTTTTTCCTTTACACGCTAGAGTAGTGAAGATGAATTTTAGGAGCAAATAAGAATACGTCGCCCTTTTACTTATCATTAAAGTTGCCGAACAAAATGTCTTACTAGTTGTAAATCAAGCCCAAAATAGTTAATTTCATATCAATTTTAAAGTAGGAATCTTAACCATGCGAAAAAATTTAATCAAAAATAATATTACTCTGATTTACTCTCTTTGGTGTTGTGCGTTGACAAAACGCGACAATATTGTCAATGACCATGACAAATAAGTCGAGAATATTTTCTTAGGACGCGACAGGTAAAATCTGACAATTATCAGCTTTATTAAACGTGTTTGATAGGTGACAATTATGTCAGTTTTTACCTGTCGCATTTGGACACATTTGTCGTGTTTATTTAACGGCACTTGTCGCGACAATTTGACTTATTTGTCAAAAAGTGACATAATTGTCACCTGTCAGGCTTTATTTAATTGGGGCCAGGTTGTCAGCCTGTCGCCTACAACTGCAATACAAATCAACCCTCAAATCCCTTAGTCGATTTTTACAACATCCACGGGAAAGATATGGGATGATGCTATCCTAAGACGGCGCCACACGGCAATGGACAATCAGTTTAATATAAATTGAATGAATACGTACATTGGTACCTTATATAGTGTGAAATTTTACTAGTGACCGATAGCGAAAACTCAGGACCAG